CTAAAGATCAGACCATGCATCAATTTGTTGCTGAAAAAAGGTTAAAAACAGTGGAGAGGTGGTTGTTTATGAGACGTTCTAACTATAAGGCCTTGACAAAAATTGGCATTTTCTATATATAGGGAGTTACTTGCAGGAGGCAGTCGGTTATGAGAGGTGGTCGTACATGGCAGTTTGACTGTATCAAAAGGGATAGAATAAAGTATATTGTTGACGAAACAATGGATAAACACTAACACTAAGATCTTGCAGATATAAAACACAACTTTACACAAACATACAACACTCAACTCCCTTTTGCATTAAGTTGTTAACGATTCAAGCGCATCAGCACTGTCAATCACAAGGACGCTGAAATAAAATCTAAACCGAAGGCAGAGGCACATCTCCACCTGTAGTCGTGACACAGAGTCAAGAGGGTTTACAGTTTCTAGTCCTAGGCCTCCACTTCTGGTTTAGATCTAATGCCAGAGTTTTCATGATTAGCATTAATTTTCTGGTGTGCATGAATACAGTAATAATTAACAATTATTAACAACCTCGTGTGAAAGGGGGTGTGTTTCATGTTTGTTGAGAGTTATGTTTTTATTGCTATTAGGTCTTTAACAGTGTACTGTGTTAGTGTCTATTCGTCATTTCATCAACATGATAATTATCTAATGCTAAGTATACTATGCTTCTGTGTATGGCCTGACATAGTGCTGATTTTATTACTGCATATCACCTGGAACTCATCAAAACATAAAAGCCACCACTGAGAGCTGATCTTCTCAGCAACTGGTGGAATTGGATCAAATGGCTGTGCTCGCACAGACTTAGGGTCCCGTGCAGGGAGACTCACTTTCAACTTGTGAATACCTGAAACAAATGTCATGCAAAATTCAGTCAATCTGCTTAACAGTAAAGCAACAATGTACTCTTTGTATAAGACTATCTGCCAATGAAAAAAAGTACACAACTGTACACTTAGGGTATCATCCACCTTTCAATACTGTCTTTCTGCAAAACACACTAGTGCTTGTAGCTTTAATAATAACCCCTACAAACCTTTATTTTTTATGAAAGCTTTTATGTAATAGTTTCAGATTATGGCAGTCTTTTTAAAAATCCAACATGCTAATCACTTTCCAAGCTCCAACTACAAAATGATAGTCTTGGTAATATCATCTGTCCAGTCATCACGTCAGATACAGGTAGGTTTTTGTAGGACATGGGCAGACTTTAGTACAACATTGTCTGATGATGACTGTCATTTGCAGCTTTGCCTCCTGCCACAAAAACCCAGGGAGGCTACTCCCTATAATGGCCTACACAGGGAGGCTCCACCCGAAAGGGGTACCTTCTTCAGGCTTAAGGGTAGAGATTTCACTTGTTAAAGGATATGAAAGGGCATGGAAATCTGTCATTTTGGTTGGTAAAAGAACACAAAACAGCTACCAGATGCATTTTATGGCTGTGAAAAAGTCGAGAAAATATTCTGGTTTTGTGACTTATTCATATTTAATAGACAGTGCATTTAAAGCAGTTAAAAAGGATGCAAAGATCTAAACTAGGTATATGAAAGAGATACCATTTGTCAATAGAAGGTATACAATTTGGGGTACCCTTTCTGTCAAAAATGGTATAATTACAAAAGGGTAAGGGATTGGA